ATTTTTAACTCCAATCAAAATTTGGTATGAAATAAAAAATTACACACACACACGTATATATAAACGAAAAAAATAAGGATTTATTTGTAATTTAAACCCACCGAAAGAAATGAGAAGGAGTAAAATTCGAGTCGTGTGTAAAACACCCTTGCCTTAAAATCGATTCGCTACATTTCGAGGGTGCTAGGAGCATTGTGGCGTCAATATCTTAAGATAAAACGGATAACGTCTTAGTGTTTAAGCATTCAAACAAAAGTCCAGCGATCTAGAACAAAGATCGAGCACTCCGTACAATTTACGAAAATGTTGGCAGAACTTTAGCTTTTTCGTAAGAAAAAAATTGAGAGGGGAAGAGAGAAATCACAGATTTTGAGAGTTCAAAACCAGCAGCCCAAGCATCTGCCAACAACAAGGCTATTTGTAAGAGATGATGGAATTAATAGCATTAAACCATGACACTTACATATGAAATAAATCAGATATGTAACCCCCATAACGTACAACTTTAAATTTTTAATATGGAGTTTAATTTGTATCTCAAAATTAAATTGAAATGAATTCAAAATTAATTCTTACGGTTCAAAATTAATACTGCCAGAACGGTACTCTGAATAGTACTCTCGGACAATGACTCTGCGTTGGAAAAATTTTTCTGGACGACATTATTAGTGCCCGCGTACACGAGTCAAACTCTTGTATATATAGTGGTGCAACCCTGCTTCCCAAGCCAATATGTGACCAGTGTTTTTCCAGAACCTTCCTACCTTCATTTTCCAACTCAAATGTGTCTACTTTGAGATTTAATCGCTCATTCACCCATTATCTGTTTTGAGTGAACAATATATGAATTTCTTCGTCTTACTACAAAAAATTTTGAGCGAGCCAACCCAAATCAAAAGTGAACCTCATATATATTTGTACTACAAAATAGCACTTACATGCCATTTTTAAGCTAAAAATTCTAACAAGAAATTCGACTACGTCTCCATTATTGATAAGTGTCAAATTTGTATAACTTGTTGGACTAAAGTTTCATTATTATTATAACTTCTGTTATATCCCCTATTACTACTACCATATACCTATATCTATAATATTTTTTTTTCTATGAGTCACGTTCTGGTGCAAATGGCGCGCCCAGGAGGCAGGAGCGAATATGCGAACCAATCAGTACGCGCCACATGTCCAGATCTAGGTGCACATATAGTAATAACTAGGTGCACCTAGGTGAAAGTATGTGCACTTGTAGGTGAAAGTAGGTGCACATGATCAATGAATGTTAACAAGGCAAAATTACATACACTTGTAGGTGATAGTAGATTCAAAATTACATGAACTTGTAGATAAAAGTAGGTGTACACTATCAATGAATGTTGACATGTGGCGCACACTGATTATTTCGCATTTCACACCTGGGCGGCCATTCGCACGAGATCGCGCCTCTTTTTTCTATTACTTTATTATCATGTTATGAAAATAATTATATTTTAATTAATTTAATTTTGCAGATTATATTTTAATTAAATAATTATGACAGTTAAATCATATATGTGTGCATAACTTGGGGAATGCGGTTGCGTGGAATTGACCCATCCATCATTTATCAAAATGTCTAAGGATCAATCATTGATTTTGAGAATGGAGACATAAAGCAGTCTTAAAACTCTAGGACTACTGTCACACCCTTAGAGATACACATACCTACCATTCAACAAGGGAATATATATTATTGTAATATCTTTTTCTTTTATTCTTTGTTTCTTTTTTATTTTGTAAATAATATTAAATTTTATGAAATGTGTTTACATTTCAAATATGATAATTAAAATTATCAAATTAATGAATTGCAAAATACAATTTTTAATTGATCAGCATTTTAAGATTGCATATGAATTTTGATGTATCGCATGGCATATTCGCATGACATCGCGAGATGGTAATAAGCAATAATATAATAATGCTTAGTGAATTGAATGCACAGCTGAATTGTTAGGCTAATTACCTTTGAGAGCATAGCACTAGTTAATGGAGGATTGGGCACTACCACAGTGCCATTGCAATTTACAAAACAAATGAATATAATGGAAAATTAGATATTTGGTCTTTGAGTTATACTTATCACAACTTACCTAAGTTATAATCGTATTTATTTTTACTCTTAACTCTTAAGTTACAAGTGAAGTAGGTCGTTTGGCCCCCGACATTAGAGATTCGTTTTAACTTGACGAAAAACTTAAAAGTCCCTTTCAAATTAGAGGGCTAAAGTAGAAAATTCATATCTTATTTTCCTTCTTGTATTGAAATCAATTTCGTAGCATTATTTTACATTTTCCATATAAGAAACCTGACACTAAGTACAAACAAAGGAACACTTAATCACCGTTTTCAGGCGTGTGAAACACACAATTCTAAATATTTTCGATTTTCCTTACTAAACAACAAGGATAATCAAACCAGAAATTTTGATATGAGATACAAGAATATGTCAAATGTCTCATGTTGCTTTTATAAAAAACTCACAAATGGAGTAACTTGAGATTTCTAGTATGTAAAATTATTTTCGTAAACTCTGTTGTTGCTTAGTCAAGAATCATATATTGTGACAAGTGACAACATATGAAAATTATCCATCATATGTCATCTTAATAATCGGAGTAATGGATGAGGAACAAGGATCTTATACAAGGAAGTTGAGACTCAGTTATGGAAGTTAGATATATATAATAGAATTTATACGATTCTTGACCAAGATACGTACTGCAAAGTTTATGAAAGAAATTTTACATACTAAAAATCTCAAGTTATTCTATGAATTTCTCATAAAAGTAATATGAGAAATTCAATATCTTCTTGTATCTCAAAAGTTATGGTTTGAGTACCCTTATAACTTAGTAAGGGAAATCATAATCTTTTAGGATAGTGGCTTTCAAATGCTTGAAGACGGTGATCAAGTGCTCTGGTGTTTGTACTTTGTCTCAAGTTCCTTATGCGAGACTCATGTTCCTAACAAATCATACAAGGGTTATTGAAATTCTTTTGGTGTTAAATAATTTAAAATTAATATTGCGAAAGTGATTTTAATAAAAAGAGAATAAAATGTGAATTTATTACGTTCTCCCTTCAATTTTAAAAGGTTTTTGAAATTTTTATTAGGTTGAGGCGGATGTCTATCATCACATGAAAGTGGTTTTTTTTTTTTTTTTTTTAGGCCTAATTACTATACGGGATGGGAGCTGGGAGTTGAGCATATTCGCTAAACATGTGAATGGTTAAACCATCAGCTCTCAAAATTTGGGTATGGCTAAACATATATGGAAAGGAACATTTTGAGATAATGCTATATAGGATCTTCTGAGTATAGTGATTTTGCTCATATCTAGTCTTAAATTATCAAATTGATCACTTATGATTTCTCAATTTTTAAATTGTTAATATCTGTGGTCTAAGTTAACCATTCATGGTCCTTTAATTTTTAAAATTTAACTAGTTACAGTCCTAGTGAAGGACCACATACCATGCGTGGTTAACTTGGACCACTATGGTAATAATTTGAAAGTAGAAGAACCAAATGTGATTAATTTGAAAGTTTAGGACTAGACGTGGCGGAAACTAAGTCAAACCCGTCAATTAAGCAGTCCAATAAATCCAAATAGCTTGGTCCAAGCCAATTAAATATTCCTTCAATTTGGGATGAGCAATCCAACATCCAATTAGACCAATTAAATATTTATTGGGCCATTTAGTCAACCTAATTAAATAAATATTTGTCCAGTTAGCCACATTAAAGTAATTATTTTGATAATCAATTATCAGACAGTTATGCCATGGACCCGGGTTCTCCTTGCAAGGCGGGCCCGGCTCAAAATATACAATTTATATACTGAATGTTCACAATTTACATATTGAATGTTCACAATTTGGTATGTAAATTGTGAACATAGTATATAAAATTGTGAACATTTAGTATGTAAATTTTAAACATTTAGTATATAAAAATTATAAAAATTCAATATGTAAATTGTGAACATTTAATATATAAATTGTGTACTTTTTAGATCCGAGTCCATCTTGTAAGGTGGACCAGATCCAATGAATAATTTGCCTCAATTATCCGTCAAGGTCCAATAACACAAAAAATCAGCCCACTTATAATTTCAATGCTTACATGCACATATTTTTATGCATCATGCATATAAAATAATGTGTGTGTGTATGGAAGAATATTTTATACTTTTTTTTTTTGACAAGAAGAAAATTTTATACATATTAAACACAATAACAAAATTCTTATTAATAGATTATTATAAATTCACTAATTATTTTAAATTAACAAAAACTACTAAATTTAAGGGTTGAAAAAACATTTAGAAACAAAAAGAAAGGATTTTTTAAACATCTATTTACTATTATGATAACACACAAAAGTTTAAAATATCATCAAAGTAGGTTTTGAAACAAAACTTGGATATCAATGTAAAAAATTAAAATAAAAATGTTTTTCATTTAACGAGAAAAAATTATATGATATTTATATATATATCTATATAATAAAAAAGTATTATCAACGTATCTTTTATATTCATTTATGTAGACATATACTATATTTGTTATGGGGCGTTTGGTTGTAAGGGGGATTATGTGGGAAATGAATTGCAATTCTATGGGAGAATAAAAATAATGTGGGTATAAAGTGATAATTTAAATTTCAGGGTTTATAGGAATAAAATTATTAGGAATTTCAATTCTAATGTTTGGTATACATGGAATATTTGAAAGGGGATAAATAGTATAAACTCCAAAATGTGATACTTATTGTTATTGTTATTGTTATTGTTATTGTTATTGTTATTGTTATTGTTATTGTTATTGTTATTGTTATTGTTATTGTTATTATTATTATTATTATTATTATTATTATTATTATTATTATTAGAGTTAATGTCACATGGAGTGTATAGTAGTTTTGCCATGTTTAGTCCTAAACTTTGAAACTGACAATATGTGGTCTTCCGACTTTATAATTTAACGATTCATTGTCCGAGTTAACCACCCATGGTCCTTTAACTTATAAAATTTAACCCACCGTGGACCTCTTGAATGGACCATGGTTGGTTAAAATTTAATAGTTGAAGGACCACGGATGCTAACAAATTGAAAGTGGAAGGACCAAAGGTGGTGAATTTAAAAGTTTAGGATTAAACATGATAAAATTATTATACTTGGAGGAACTCAAATTGTATTAACTATTATTATTATTATTATTATTATTATTATTATTATTATTATTATTATTATTATTATTATTATTATTATTACAAATTCTAAATGACCAAATTCAAATTTTAATTTTGAAAATTTATGTAAAATGATGTATAAATGAACCATAGAATTGCATAATGAAAGCAAAAAAATAGATAAGGGAATTTCGAGAAAACATATTTGATTGAGGTTGGCCTATTGATTGACGTTTTGTGTTAAGAGTAGAAGAAGAAGACACACTATAATTAAAATAGAGAGGCCAAACATCAATTTTAGGTTAAAAATAGAGAGGGGGTGATTTTGTCTCAAAGTTACTTTTTTAAAAAAATAAAAAAAAATGCTCGGGTGAAATGGATAATTTTTAATAATTAAATATAACAAAAAATGTTGGAGTGAAATGGATAATTTTTAATAATTAACTTGATTATATTTTATTTTTTATTATTAAACATTATTTAAAAGTGCCAACTCACTATTGTTGTAAGTAGACAACCTGATGAAATTAGTGGTAATCTGCTATCAGGTGAAATTGCATACATTTGGAGTGTTTAGTGGTCTAATTGTAGCTTTTTTCGTTTAGTGGCCTAATTGCACTTTCAGATTATGTTCAGTGGCCAATTTGAACCTTATTCCTTTTAGTTTTGAAGTGTAGTTCCTTTTTTCTTTTATTTTTTCATTTTCACGATTGACCAATTATTTGAAAAAAAATTGAAAAATAATTAAATTGAAAAGGATGAAAAAATTTTGAGTTATCATCTGGAAGCTAAATTATGTAGAAATTGAATGATGCAAATTGAAGAGTACTTGTTATATTTTAATGCGTGTCTCCAGATGCAGAATTAATTATCTGTAAATGTACAATAATATATTATAAGATGTACAATAGGTAGTTTGTACGGAAAAAGTGGTTCTTATTTGATCATAAATAACCAACAGTGAGCGTAAATATTAGATCAACGGTTAAGTACTATTAATAAAGATAATGGAAATATATAATGACGTTAGTTTTATACGAAACATTATGATACTGGGAATTGAAGAATACCTATATTCATTACTACAAATGTAGAATGTTAAATATAGAATTGGAATAGGATCAAATTAGTCATTGAACTATACACAAAAAGGTAATTAAGCCATCCAACTAAAAAACATGCAATTAGCCCCATGAATAAGCCAAAATCTTGTAATTGAGTCAAAAGTGACTGGTTATACAGGTTAACCGCTGATGTGACAGTTAACATTTTAATAAATTATTTTATTTTATTAATTTTAAATATTGAATTAAAAAAAAAAATAAATAAAAACAACCCCACCCATCCCCTCCACTGTCGCCGGTAGGAGACAAAGTGCATACACACTTCATATGCGATGATCGGCGACGAAGTGCAAACTTCATTTGCACATGGTCTCAGGCCAAAACCTTGTGGACTTTGTCTTCCTACGGCTTTCAGTGGTGTGGGGTTGATGAGCCTCAGCTTGTTAAGCAGCCTGTTCATATTTCCTGTCTCTTGCAACATCACATTTCCAAATCGTAAGGAAAGAACTCTGGAAGGAATAAAAATTTTAATAAATCTGAAGTGCGTATGCACTTTGTCTCCTACCGGCGACGTGACGACGAAGGGGATGGGTGGGGTTGGTGTTTTTTATTTTTATTTTTTATTTTTAAATCAATAAAATAAAATAATATATTAAATGTTAATCGCCACTTTAACTTGAATAACCAGTCACTTTTGACTCAATTGCAAGATTTTGGCTTAATCAGGGGGCTAATTGTATGTTTTTTTAATTGGATGACCTAATTGCATTTTTGTGTGTAGTTCAGTGGCTAATTTGACCATTATTCCTATAGAATTTGTTAAATGCCATTATCATTTTTCCTCTACTACAAATGTGCAATGTTAGATATAGAATTTATTAAATGTCACTAGTATTTTTCCCCAACTACAAAGAATTTGTCAAATGTCATTATCTTTTATCTCACTTTCAAATCTGGAGTGAAGGTAGACATTTATAATAGAACTTTACTATATATACTCCCTATTTTTACTCCATCTTTTTTTTTTTTTTTTTTGGTGAGTCTCAATGAAAATGTCAATATTAAAATTTTGTGAGAGAAAATAAAAATTAAGAGCAGAAATAATATTTTCCTTTATAATACTGAGGTTCACTTATTTAGGTACCATAATTATTTAGGCTACAAGTTATTATGAGCCTACCCATATAACTTAACAACTATGGATTATATTTTAGGTGGTGTTTGGCTGGAAATTTTTACACCTTAAAAAAAAAAAAAACCCTCGCCTTCTCCGATGAAAAGGCAGCCCCTCACCTTCTTACCAGAGAAGCTAAGGCGGTTTTTTTTTTTTTTTTTTTTTTTTTAATGTTTTAGTTTTTAATTAAAAAATCATTAATGTAATATCGTAAATTACATTTAACTAGGTTTGTGTAAATAGTCATATTTGCACCCTTATTGCTATTTACACCACCTATGTAATTATTGAAAATTTTCACATTTTTACAATTTCAAGGTTATTTATTACACCCACTTTTCACTAGCGGGTAGTACAAATAACAACACCCCTTTTTAATTATAGAATGAGGTTTTTAATTGAAGGGGTAATCAAATCCCATAATTATGTTTTAAAAAATTGTCTACCAAACACTAACTATGATTTTGATTCTCATTCCTAATGTGTAAACACATGAACCAAACACACCCCTAATAAAAAATACAATCATCATTGTTTTTCTTCAATTTCACCTTCCTTATCACTCACTCAGTGTGTTGAAGTCCAGCATGCCATGCTGCTTGTTTATGGACCGTTATGCTGTGCAACCGTGTGCACCATGCAAGGTGCACACAGAATTGGATCCATAATTTCTATACTATAGATCCATAATTTATATATTATAGATCCATAACTTCTATACTATAAATTCATAATTTTCATACTACAGATTCATAATTTCTATACTGTAGATTCATAATTTCTATACTGTAGATTTGTTGAAACCCTAGGTCCTTTTAGAAATAGGCCCATTAGGTTAATAACATATTCCTATTTAAATAGTAGATGTTTGTACAGTTCTTTTGAGTTGAATACAATGAACCTTTCTACTATTCAACATGGTATCAGAGCCTAAACCCTAAAATAAAATACCCATTCTTTTCCGCCGCCACAGCCACCGGAGAAACCACTCCCGCGACTGTTCTTTTTGTTCCGACCCTTGCCTAGTGATTTTTCTCCCAAACCAACTCAACAGGCGTAATCAGAACCTCGTCATGAGCCTAAGGCTAAAATCCGGTCGCCGTCTGCCGCCGTCATGCGCCACGCGCCACCGTCGAGATCTTGGTTCATTTTCCGGCCAGATTTCCCTGCTTCGACCTCCGATCGCGACGCCGTTGCCACCGTTGGATTCGTCTCGAGGAAACGCTTCAGACTGTGTTTTTCGTTTCCTCATCTCTGCCGGTCAACGGTCAACTCGCCGGTCAACGGTCAACCATCCTTTGAGGCAGTTTTTCCCTTTCCTTTTGAATAATATTATAGCTTCATCTCTAGCCGTTGGTACCTCTTCTCTGTTGTGTCTTTCTCAAGCTAGTAACACCAATACTTGGGTTCTAAACACAGTTGCCTCAGACCATATTTCTGGTAATCTATCCCTTATGACTAATGTCACAAAGTCTAAGGTTTTACCCATGGTTACCTTAGCTAATGGTAATCAAACACCAGTTGCCGGTGTTGGTCAGGCTCATCCTTTGCCATCTTTCCCCTTATAGTCAGTTTTATATGTTCCTAATAGTCCTTAATTTCAACCTTATCTCCATGAGTAAAATCACCCGTACCCTTAATTGTTCTGTAACCTTTTGTGCGGATTCGGTTGTTGTGCAGGATCGTAGTACGGGGAAGGTGATTGGCACTCGGATTGAGTCACAAGGCCTCTATTACCTCCGTGGTGGTGATCTTGCTGCCTATGCTTCTACAGATTCTCACCTGCTTCTCCATAGTCGTTTGGGCCACCCTAGTCTCTCCAAACTTCGACATATGGTTCCAGGTTTATCTATAGAGTTATTAGATTGTGAGTCATGTCACCTTGGAAAGCAATCACGTAAGTCCTTTCCACGGAGAGTCAATAATCGGGCTGCGTCTCTTTTTGATTTAGTTCATACTGATGTTTGGGGTCCATGTCGTGTCAATTCTGCTTTGGGGTTTCGTTACTTTGTCACTTTTACGAATGATTATTCTAGGTATACTTGGTTGTTCCTTATGAAAGATCGTTCTGAGTTATTCCAGATTTTTCAAAATTTTTGTGTTCAAATACAAACTCAATTTGGTAAACCCATTCGTGTTCTACGTAGTGACAATGCTAAAGAGTATCTCTCTAACCCCTTTCAATCCTATATGACCTCTCGGGGTATGTTACACCAACGGTCGTGTGTTTACACACCTTAGCAAAATGGGGTGGCTGAGCGTAAGAATCGACATTTAGTTGAAATTGCTCGCACTATGTTAGTTCATTCTCATGTTCCTTATCATTTTTGGGCTGGTGCTATCCTTACTGCGTGTTACTTGATAAATCGCATGCCATCCTCAGTCCTAAACAATGAAACCCCATATTCCATTGTGTATCCTTCGGTTGATCTTTTCCCTCTTCAACCTCGGGTTTTTGGGTGTGTTTGTTTTGTTCATGACATGACTCCTGGGCGTTCAAAATTGGCCCCTAAAGCTGTCAAGTGCGTTTTCTTAGGTTAT